GCAGTTGGCCGGGGGACCCTGAATCTGGTCGGTCTGAATCTGCCCATCTGCAGCTTTGGAGTTGTTCTGGGCTTTTTTGTTTTTGTTTTTATTGACTGGGAAGCAGGGGAGGATGTGATGTCGTGCTCCAGAGGCGAAAACTAAGAGCGGCTGGAGAATCGGGCGTTGATTAAATGTGCACCGAGCTATTTCACTGAGCAAACAAGACCAGCGGATTCTTGGAGGAACCCTAATGGTAGCTAAATCAAAGAGAGATTTTTTTTTAAAAATGTAATCTGAAAGACAAATAGAAATAAGCATGATCAGATTTATGCTGTGCTCAAGTCCCCCGTTGGATGTGTTCATCTTTATTCCGCTCTCTCAAAGCGCTCCCTTTAATGTCAGCCGGCGAAGGGAAGTGATGAAATTGGAGCAATTACGTATCCATTTGTGCTATTCAGGTGAAACCAGGTGAAAAATCTGTGCACCTGCTGTATTTTTAATTCATTGTGCGTTTTCAACAGTGCAGCATGTTAGATGGTAATATCCCAAAAATGTGGACAAAGCATTTCATGCAATGAATCCATTTAGCATCATTTTATAGCTTCCAGAGTTAAGGATTGTTTTTACTCTGTAGGTTTACCCTGAAAATTGCAATAGAGAATTTATGAAAGCCAAACCCAAGCAAATTGTATGGGAGAGAAATAGAGAGTTGTTAAGTTGTGGTGTAATAGGAGGAGGAATTGCTTCGCAATAAAACTAATTGTCCCTCAAGAAGCAACATGCTTAATTTGATATTTCAGACATTTAGGAATATGAGAAAAGAAAACAATGAAGCATTTTCGTACCGAATTATGTTCTTTGGTGAAAACAGAGAGCCAAGTCATCTGAAGGGCTGCAGATTTCATTTTCATTTTCCAAACAGTTTGTGCGTATCAATATTCATGAACCACCTTGGAAAGCGATGGGCGACTTGACGAGACGACCAGCGCGGAAACCAACAAACCCCACCCTGCTCTCTTCTCTGCAGCTGTGCTGATGAGGGGCGGTTAGTTCATGATGAAAGACTCTCACAATCCACGACCTTTCCAGTCTAAAACAAAGATTTGCACAATTAACTACTTTTAAATGTCATCCAACTGCAAAATCTGCATATCAACGCCAAGCCTTGCATAGAAAACTAGGATGTTAGTAGAGGAATAATTTTTCTCCATTTTCCCGTCCCAGTGCCACCGAATGGGCTTCTTTCTCATTTCAGCCCAGGAGCAAAATGAAAATGTCAGCGTTTCTTGGGGGGGAGCTTTTTGTGAGAAAATAAACCTTGCCGGTTAAGAAGGAAGACGGAGCTCGCCTTAACCCCTGCAATTAAATTCAGCTGGAAAGACATGGAAAACAACATTTCCACAGGGACCCACCCACAGGGGGGGGGGGGGGGGGGGATCACAGTGACTCCATTATCCTGGGAGACACACGCTCAGCACACCCAACTTATTCCGAGGAGAGACATTGGTTGATCTCCTCCTCCCCCCCCCCCCGAGGCGGTGGGAGGGAGGCTATTGGGAGGATGTCAAAATTTGGGGGGGGATTAATAAATCTCATTTCTTTTTATCTTGGTGAGGTTGGCCAGAGAAGCTGGTCTAGCTGTAGCCCCTGGTGAGAGGGAAACCATTACAGAGAAACTCACACCCGTAAGTCTTCATACATCAAGCTGAGGACTGCCGGGGTCCATTTCAATTTCCTCTAACCAACTCCTAACGTCCAAAACAAGTAAACGAGCCAGCGTAATTCAAATACGCTCTTATAGGGGTTCTCTTTGGGTCTCCAACGCGCAGCCTTCTCCGGCAACACGGAGCTCCATCCTGCTGCTCAAACGCAGTGTCAGTTACAAAGTCAACCCATTAGCATCTTTGCTATTCAACGCTGCGCTCTTTCCCCAACTGCAGAATCAACACGAGGCGATGGGCCGGTTGAGTAGCTCAAAAAATATCTCCTCGCTCCCATGGGAGCAGGGTGGGAACACCATGTGATGATGGACAGGGAATATTTTTTTTATTTTATATGTGGCCAGATGCAGACAAGTGATTGACATGACTTCCGGGAGACAGGAAGAATCTGGGTTTGAAGAGGGCAGAGGTGAAGCGGAGGGAATGCTGGGATGTGCCAGAGGAAAGTTGATTCAGTGTAGGATGAATAGGTGGATGGGAAACATTAGCAGAGCGGACCCTCCAAAGTCAGTCAGACCCTCGAGAGAGGAGTCCAAGGCGAAGATGACCACCCGAGGTTATAATACTTAGAAGACAGGACGGATGGATGACCTTTTTGTGTAATAATGGAGTAACGTTCCCAAACTGCACTGTAGAAGACACTACCACAGCATATCAAACCTCATCTTTGGCACCACCATGGCTGGATCATCAAGTCCCTGCATGCAGCTCACAGGCGTCTTGTCCTGAAGCATTACAAAACACAGAGCTTCTCACACAACCACTGTAGTTCAGCACAGGACACCGATCCTTTACGCACGGTGGACTGCCATGTTTGTAAAACACAGCCTTTATCGTGACTAGAAGCTGCATATCAATTCTCGCAGAGACGTTCAAAGGAGCCCCTACCTTTTCGGTCAAGGACATCCGTCAATGTCAGCTATGATTAGCTCTCGGAAAATACTAATTTCTTGGAAAGACTAGACTAACGTCCTTGCAGGTCGGACATGAAGAATGTCCTGTATGGACAGCGCCAATTCTTATCAGCAACTCATTAAAAATGTAATGAGCACATGAATATTTACCAAGTTTAATTGCAGTTTCTCCTCCAAGTGCCGGACTAACGCCTTCTTCCGCCTTGATGAATATTGCAGGGGTACGACGAGTGGGAGCCATCGATGGAACCCACCTCTATCAGCAGGAGAATCGATGGCATACGCTCACATTTGCAAAGGTGCTAATTGGCAGCAGTAAAATCCAGCAATCTGCGTAATTTACCCAGGAGAGAAGTGGGAGCGAGCGCGGGGAGATCGGCTCATCTGTAGCAGAGATATTTAAAGAAAAGGAGAACAAAAAAAAGAAAGAAATGACATTCTGGAATCAGAAGGTGTTTAACAGCTGCTTGGGAGAACGTAGCTAAAGGCCACATTATTAATGTCTCTGCTAGAGAAGTACAAGCTATTGAAGTAGGTTTTTCTTGCTGGGGAAGTGAAATTGGAAATGTCTCAACGTCTTTTGATGCTCACTGTGAAATAAACATACAGCACAAACACACTGGGACAAAATGTGAAACTGCAATTAAAAACCATTATGTGAATAGTTGTCCCCTCTATATTGTATGGACAGTTGGTGAAGGAGGACACTGAGGTCAAGGCCTCGACCCCCCTCGCAACAATATTTGCATATTTTATCTGCTTATCTGAAAAGACAAAGAGGGAGTGATTTTCAGGGACATTTGTTGCATGGCATACCGGCCCTGCCTCTCTCCATGGTGCTTGCTCATATCGAGAAAAAAAATGACAATAATAATAATTATATAATTATAAAATGACAAGCTAAAAAAAAAAAAAAAGAAGAATCCCACATGAATTTTTACATATTTTTCTCTGCAAACACAAGCTGTTTTAGTGAAAAAAAGAATCTGAGTAAATCCTAAGTGACTTTGCAAGTGCGGCTTTGTGTTTACAATCTGCTCAGTTTCAAGCAGCTGTAATGTTTGTGCGCCTCTGTTGTGAGCAAATGTTGTTCAAACAGTTATGGGGGAGTGGATGCAACAGAATGAACACCTGTGAAATCCATGGCAATCCAAAACAATAGCCCATTGCTGCAACAAATACTACCTTGCAAAGACTATAATATCAGACAAAGAGGAACCGGGGAAAAAAAAACACCTGAAACAAAACCCACAAATTACAGCCTTAACTCACAGCGCCGTGTTGCAACGACTCTGACACAAAACTTTTAAATTAGAAACTCACAAAGGCAGAAATTGTTGTCGGGTGAAAGTAAATGTTGGTTGTTGTTGACGCGTTGGAGCGTCGATTCTCCGTGTGTGACGGGGGAAAAGGAGAAATCGATGACAATGGAAGGTGGGTTACCTGTATGTATTTATGTACAGCCGAAGGAAATAAAAGAGCAGCTTGTTAATCAGGTATAGTTGTATTGAGGCAGAGAAAACTCCTTCAGCTGTGACTCAAGTAGAGTGCGCATTGACACTAATTATGAATGTATCACAGAAGAACTAACTGCTTCCTGTTTAGCCATCACCTGCGTTCAATCGGCAGACATGACAACGGGAAGTCAAAAGGGGCCGAGGACCCATTGAGTGGCTTTGAGGTCTCGCTGGGTAGCAAGCTCATGTCATACTTGCGTATTCTAAGGCCTTTGGTTGTGATGGAATACATGCTGGTGTCCTTATTTGTTTTCTACCTGAGCAAACAGACGGAATCTACGCTGAATTTCAATTTCACCGCCTCTTCCACTGTAGTCCTGGTGGACTTTAAGTTCAAATGCATTCAACCTAATATGACGTTTGAGAAAACCAGCCTGATCTCCAAAATTCGTAGTGATACATACTAAATAAATACGGACAGCAACTGATGACGTCACCCTATTCAAAGTGAACGGGTAAACACACTTCGTGAAGTCCAACGATGTAAAATAAACGTGTTATGATTGCATTTTACAACAAGAAATCAATGTTAACTTGTAAGAATACAATACTAACCGCAACCCCCTCAAAAAATCCAACATGGCGGAGAGACGTTCACTCCAACATGGTATCCAACATGGTCCGCCATGTTGTTCACTCAAGGGGCGTGGTTAACCACCGCCAGTTCCTATGTATTGTTACGAATTTGTATGTTCAAGATTTTCGTATACATTTTTACGAACAGGTTTTGGAGATCACGGAGAAAACATGCGAAAGATCAAAAGCAGCCCACAGATTATGTAAAATGAGTGAAGGCGTATTCCACTGTCATTTGGAATCATCTTCGCCTGCCTCAATTCCACATATACAAAAGGAGAAGAGAAAAGAAAGCTTGAAGTAGTGTTTTATTCATCTTTATGTAAATCCAGTCATTTACGGTTGCCTTAACAAATCAGGAATCAAGTGTGTCAACATCTAGCAGGGAGGAAAGTGCATGAGGATTACAAAAGAACAGAAACGAAACAAAAACAGGCAGCGGGAGACACCGGTTAAAGTCTATAAATCCTGACACGGGTAAACCGAAGGTGTTTTTAATTGTCTGAAAACTCTGTATGCCATAGAAAGTTTACAGTTCCACTCCAAACCCGAGGCTCAGTAAGCTATTGTTCATGTCTGAGTGACTGGCTGAGCCCAGAGCTGGTTCACACCATAGAAAAATACCCTGTTTTTTGCGTTTTTTAACTGTACACTACTTAACTTCTATAGGACAGATAGAAATCCATCAACTCTCTGCTTATAGGCCCACGGCAGCCAGTTTTTTTTCTTTTCTTACATCCTAAACCACTAAGAAAGATAAATCCGTCATTGCTTTGCTACATAGCTAATGTTACAAGAATATGCTCAAAACCAATATCAAGTAAATCCCACACAGTATTTATGTATATATATATATATATATATATATATCAAATAATGGAAATATGGTATTAGATAAACATTTCATCAGTAAAGTCTGGATAGCTAATTGATGGCAACTTCAGTACCCACTCTGCATTAAGGCAACGTTCCCTCTTACCCGACGTCCCGGTAGTGGTGGTTTATAATCTGATAACATCCGCCGGGGTTTTCAGGTAAAGGCAACTTCTGTTTCATTCTCTACTGACTCAAGGTGATGAACAGTCAACTCGAATGAAAGTATGGCATAAAAACAGCATTGTTCCCAAGTCATACAGAGGCTCCCTTATACGGCAGGTCATCTGCAGATAATATCGCTACAAAAAAAACAAAACAGAAAACAAAAACCTGAAAACATGCCTTTTATTTTTTTTATTTTTAGATATAATCAATGCTGTTTCCCTGCCATTGATTTGCATTGAGATTGGACCTACAAGTCACAACGAAGATCTCTGTCCTTCAACTCAAAACATCTCAAAGCATATGGGTGCACAGATTTCTTTAACACTGTACTGGACGTCAGGGAAAAAAACAGAAAAAAACGACATGGACAAAATAAACATTACAGATTCCTCAAAATACCTCAAGTGTCTGGTCTTCACATGCAAGGTGTCATTTACTGGTCTCCAAGTCTCTGCTTTGTGTTACGCGAGGTCCTCACAGCAGTCGAGTTCAGTACGAAGGAAGCAAACGCCGCAGAGGACCGACGTGCACGAGACAAAATTCAATCTAAATCTTAATCTGTGACCGTCGCTGAATGTCCTTGATTTAAGGATGTGTTCGTTTGGATCTTCCCTGGGTATTCAAGACCAGACCGCTGACCCCTCCCCCGGCCTCCTTACCTGGACTGGTAAGTGATGGGGAGGACACTGAATGTCCTGGAGCAGCACCCGTACTTTTGTCCGGGGCGACTGCTTGGCGGGCGGAGTTGCAGCTCTCACGAGAAACGGTCATACAATCAACTTCACACTTTGCTTTCCTTAAGTCCTCAGTATCGCAGCGGCCGTGACTTAGTTAGATCCCAGAACCAAGCCAGGGCTGCTCACGGGCAGAAACACCTTTGAAATACTCTCTGGTTCACAGCAAGAAACACGTGGGAAAGACCTCGGCGGGTGGCTGATACATTTACCGGTCCCAAGAATGTTGCAGGTTACGTTGCCCATTCAGTTTTGAAACATGACGTCACAGCAATCCAACTCAGAACAAAGAGTGAAGTAGACTGTCGGATGAACGATTCTCAACATATGCAAAGGTTGTGCAGACAGACGGAGAGGGGTCGCTTTATAGTTTGAAGAGGCTTCCTCTATCAACTGAGTAAAGCTGGGCAGACTGGTCACTTTAGGGTTTGGTCAAAGAAACGGCATCACATTGTTGGATGTCATATCAAGTCCAAGTTCAGACAAGCTGTTGATTATAGCCTATAGCTGGAGAAGGTCAACCATCTCACACACAGAATACCAAGCATACTTGACTTAAACTACTAAAATGAGAGATTTTCTCCAAATGAAAAGTTGGTGAATGGAACCATTGTCTGTGAGTGTGTGTGTGTGCATGAGCTGCAAAAATGTTGTATGTGTGTCTGTACACCAAAAGGGCCTCTGCGTGGATGTGCATGTGTGTGTTGGTGTGATCCAGCAGCAGCTACGACGTGTTGGACGTGTTGGGGCTCCAGCCCATTTGATAAGCTCTCTCCAGGGTTCTCTTGCAATCCTGCATCACCGTGCTGAAAACAATGTGAGGGTACTGGACCACCAGCCTCTCCACCGTCTCCTCGTTCACCTGCAAAACAAACACACACAAGGAAACACAATGATGATCAAATGATAATAAATGTAACAATAAGGAATTAAATCATCGGCAGACGTTGGAAAATGAGAGTCCAGCTGCTCACATGTTGCACTGTGGATATTTAAACTCTCCAGTAATCAAATCACTTGTGGGAAAGTCTTCATGTCCACAGTGACTGACGGAACTACGTCTGCTGATGGAGACCGTGTGATGTGGAGGGAACATTCAAGTAAGGGGATTGAGATTAATGGTTTTGACAAAGGTGACCAGGAATGAACTCCAGTGTAATTAAATGTTTCTTTTCCAACGGTGGCCCACTTCACACATGGTGGCCCTGTTTGATTACAGGACGCACAGTTTTAAACAATTGTCAGGTGCCCCAAAACAGCTCGGCTACAATCCGTTCAAATACCATCAGAATGTCGCCTCATGATGTTTGCAGACTTCAGCAGTTTGACTTAATCAAATGTAACGCGTCTCGTCTGAAGTTACTGTCGTTGTTGTCTTATCTGGTGAATTAACACGCCGAGCACAACATGAGGAAACCAGTGGAGAATCATTCATTCTGCATCACAGCGGATTTCAAGGGACTCCTGCCTAGACGTCATAAAAAGAGGCAATCGGATTAAAACCCACATAAATGTAACACAAGTACTGCTGTAGTTCAAATGAATACAGATTTGAAAATGACTTCATTTTAAAGGGGTCTGTAACAATCTGTCGCCCCACGATGCCTTGTTAAGGTAAGCAACCCTGATTGAACTGTTAATTCCCTGTCAACCGGCAGTCTGCCAGACCAAGATGAAGGAAAAGCAATTTCTCAGAGCATAAACAGTGTTTACATGCACACACACAAGGGTTCGGCACCAGAGGACGGCTGAGCTCACGAGGCTAACGAGGCCTCCGCGTCCTCCGAGGACGAGGAAGACAAGCAGCTATTAGCCGCTCCCGCTCTCATTGTCCAACACTCCGTCAGACTGTCACCGAGAGCCAAGAGGGAGAGCGGCTGAGAATCTGACAAAGACCAGAGGTCGAGTAACGCTGGAGACCTTCAGGGGTTAACCGCAACCCACCCAGAACCAACCCCCCCCCCCCCCCTGCCCACCCGCAAGCATGACACTTTCCAGGGGAAATGATGTATAAACACTCGCACACATGTTGAGCACACAGTCATCCGTTGTTGCCAAAGCAGCGACAAAGTGTTGCACAGCCCCCCCCCAGCCACAGTTCTTCGGGTTCTGGGCTATCTGGCACAAGTCCTGCCGGGGAAGGAGCTCCCTGGCTGTCACCCGGGTACTCAGCAGCTCTGGGTGACATTTTTGGTCTTTCTCTTCAATAAACAGAATTTCTTTAAGTGGGTACCAGCCCAGTGGAGAGGGAACGGACGGTCTGGAGTCAGGAGAACAACCAGTAGAATCGTAGAAATAACAGACCGGTGGTCCGTCCCCGAGGAGCAGAAGGAGGGGAAAAGAGGGAAGATGGAAACGGCACAATATGAGACCATGAAGCAGCAACAGCTTTTGCTTTGATGGCCGACCGCAGGGGCCGCAGCTGGAGTTTGGGTGCGTGACGCAGACACACCGGATTAGGATTAACAGACACCGCTGATGCAGGAAAACTAATATAAAATCATAACCCAAGGTCAAAAGGTCTTGCCGGTTTTCATCATTTTTCTAATCAGACAACGTGTGGAAATTCTGGCAAACAATTGGCAAAGTTCTCGCTACCGTCAGTGCTGAAGAGAACGACAGCACAGACAGGCAGAGAGGGCTTTTAAATGTGGAATAATAACCCTCTGACATCTCAGCCGCCGAAAGGTGCAAAGAATTGGCGGGTAAGGGTGGAAATGAGAAATTTCCAGGAACAGTTTTACGTGCGCTGCGTTCAATGATTCATCACCAAAGCTGATGCACTAATAGTGTTTCGGGATATTGCCCTAAAGAATTAATCTTACTGTAGGAGAATTCAAACTGCCAGTTTCCTGTTTCCATGCAAAATTTCACAACAGAATGTGAGTGTGAATAATAGAAATTCAGGGGCTAAAAAGTCTGTGCAATAGACGCTAATTTGGTGAATAAATCATGACTTTAGTCTAGCATTCAACATTCTTGAAAGCAATAAATGAACGAAATCTAAATGCAATAATTCCATCAAATCTATCTTTATCACTTTCATTGATTTTAGGTCTAACTTTTACATTTTGTCCTCTGCAAGATCTTGTTCTCCAGTTGTTTAATGGCGCCCAACTGCAGAATTCGTGCCACTCGCTACTTAACACTAGGAGACATGTGCATTGCATTTTATTTTTGATGATATTCTGGAAATTCTGCCAAAATTTGACTAAAAACAAGTGAAATCAACAAGCTGGAACTAGAACAAAGGGGCAATTCTATTTTTACATACTACATCTTGTGATTCTCTGGGTAAGTGAGGCTGGTTTTAAATTCTGTTCTTTTTTCCTTTTCAGCAAACTTAGCAGCCGGCTCCAAATTATTATGTGCTGCTGAATCATCCTCACAACTTTGTTTGTCTTTACTCATTATCTTTTTCTCCTATTCAAGGCTTTTATGAGGTAGTGGAGTGGAGTTTGCCTACAACGACAGCCGCATGTTGCATTCACAGAGGACCAAAGCAGAAGCAGAACAGCTCAACAGAGGCCTTTCCAACGCTGCTGTTAGAGACCAGCGTGTTATGACATATGGCTCAGCCTCATTAGAAAATAAAAAAGGCCAACCCTTGATTGCCTTCATAACATATTACGCTATATTCTTGAAAAGAGAATGTAACATCCCCCAGTCTGTTAATCAGCGCCTAATTACAATTAAAACAAATTGTAAGAATAGACCTGTCAAACTGATGCAAGGCCATAACATTCATTAAAGCTAATTTACTGCGGATCTACTTGCTGAGCAAACAGTGCAAACTCAAAATATCTCCCACTCAAAGCGCTGCATCATTTACTAATTGCCGGTTGCGGCAACGCTAAATGTTTGAGTTGCACCCAGATCACTTTGATGGAAACCATGAAATGAAAAACTATTGCGCTGACCTTGTTGATAAAACTCAGATTATTTTTCAAATGTGGGTTACTGACACATGCAGCATGTGTCAAATGAATGGAATACAAACATCGTGTCATGCAGGAGGGAAAAGGCCAATCAAGTTGAACAAAAGAAATGATTTTACCATCAATCAAACCCAAGACTGTATACATTTGAAATGACTTCAACGCAGCACAGAAAGTCATTGTACGTGGTTTGATTAATTGGCATCCTGGAATGACACACGTCTACGCGCATTCTTAAAACGTTTCATTGCCGGCGGATAGCAAATCGCGTTGACAGAAAATCAGTTAAGGCCGGCAGTTATGCATCACAGCATCCATTAACTCACCTCCTCGCGGAGTTACTGTAATTTTCTTCAGACCTACAAACAACAGCCTCTTGTAAAAAAGAAACCCCCTCTGAGAAGGTTCCCAGAGTTCCGAGCTGCAATGCCCCCCTTTGCAGAACAAGGCTGCGTGTGCCCTTTGCGTGGCTCTGAGGTATGTCGGCTGAGGCGCGATGACATCACCACACCTGCTTGGTATTTGCGGCTCAGGGCCCGTGTCAGACATGGAGGTCGGACCAAATGCTGCGGGTAACTGGCTGGCCGAGGTCTTCTGGTTACAGCAGTCGTGCCACATGGCTTCCTGAGAACTGCTGAGTCAGCTGTTCTCTTCCCAGAGTGGGACTCTGTTAACAGGCAGAACGACATTCGGTTGCTCGGCACCGCGGGCTTAAAAAAAACGCTATGAGAAACCGCTGTTGCGTCTGTTGTCAGGAATGGTGCTTTAGATATATATTTGGCTCTGGCGGAGAGTAAAAAAAAAAAAAAAAAAAAGGTTTTACCCCATGCAGCCCTCATTGAGTGTACTTACTGTACAGCTCCTCCCCCCAAACTGCTGCCAAGTCAGCAGGGGGGCCATATGACGGAGCGGATCGCTACTCACTGACGATCCCAATCTCTGGGAAGCATCTGGGGAGCGCAGCCACAGCGCTCTGGAGCGAGGCCTGTACTTACTATATTTTCCCCCCATTCTAACTTCAAAGATGCGGCGCTGCAGATCAGAGCGCGGCGTAATGCACGCTGGCGGCTAATGTGCCGCTGTCAGGGTTTTACAAGAGGGCGAGAGAGGGATGAGGGGAAAACAAAAAGATGTCTGATACGCTGCTCGGCAGAAGGCACCTTTTTATTTGAAAGGGCTGTACGCGGATCGGGATTAGCTTACACGGGTGGTGTGCGGCTGTGTGTGCGTGTGAGAGACAACGGCTCCCCCGCTCTCTGCATGTGGCGGCTGGAGGGAAGTGGCGGTCGTTGCCGAGCTGACCTCCGCTCTCTCTTGGGAGTCCTCTTATCTGCTCTGGTTCCAAACACCATGCTATTATTTGTATTCTTTTAGGTCTTATCCTTTGATGCAAATGGACTCTATCACCACGTAAAATATACATTTACCTTAAGCCCCGGGCCTTCCACTCGTAAGCAGCGCCGTAAAACACGTCGTACGGTTGACTGATGCCGCTGCAGTTCACATTCTCAGCGGGAAAAACTGAGTCGTAAATCGATAATCAGATACACAAAACACAAAGATGCATATCGCATTAGACCCGTGTGGTGAGAACACCCTGGGTGTCAAGGGATGGAAGTGGAATAAAGGGAGAGTGTTTAGGAAGTAGGCGGTGATCTACACACTGTTGATATTGGACACCTTCAGAACTGTATCTAAATGAAAATACCAGTTCAGTGGTCCTCTTCATACTCGACTACACTTTTTTACCTCTCCTTCTTTCCCCACGCTTTGTTGGGCCATGTGGCGGCCATTGCTCTAGTCCCAGGCCCGTAAATAGAGACAAATGCCCCCCGTTCCCGGTCTCCTCCTATGGAGAGAGTGTATCAGTCAACCAGTAAATACATTTGGGGTAAATGCTTAAAAAGGCTGTTTAGGCAGCAGA